CAAGAAATATGCAAATATGAGAAAAATCACAATATATGCAATAAATTCAAACTAAACGTTCATCTTTTATCAAGCCTTTCTAACTAATCGTCGTCGATTATCACATAATATTTTTTCTATCATTAGAATAAAAACAGCAAAAATAATTACCTGCACGCGTATTGTTAAATAGTCCAGCTAAGCTCAATCTCGACACATTCCGTTTTGTTCTTCAAATACAGGTTACACCTTCTCCTCGTATGTTATTCTTCATATCCGACTTCGTTATTTCTCGCGTTCGCGGTACGGTGACGCGACGAAAGGAGGGCGCGCGAAAATTGTACTTACTTACATAAGGGACGCCGCTCTCTCTCTCTCAAGTCATCCCGCACGGAATTCACTTTTAATTAAACCCGCGTCTGGCAGGTCGTGCAGGCCCCGCGGCGTCCACCCTTGCAGTGCCAGCACGACTAAAGTGTACTACGACGCATCCGTGTGGGGTGATGGCCACGGCGTACGAGGGATGCGAGCGCGATGCTTGGCTTCCATGATCCAATAATGCCGACTTAATTAGCTAACTATCTAACTCCGAGCAAGCCTGTTAGCTTATTGATTTCATTCGCTAAACTGCCGTCCAGACGTTTCTCTACTCTATTCTTCTCTCTCCTCTCATACTTTCTTTCATTTGTCATATTGTTATAAGGATTACTCTAATTGTAAGTCTTATCGCGAATTGTCTGGGGTGCGCGGATAATCTCTCTCCCTCGTTTCCTTCTCTCAGACTTTTAAAATTGTTCATTCGAATCGAGAATTTCTTCTACTTAGTAAGTTTGCTGCGTACAATGACGCTTTTCAATACTTTGGCTTATCTTTTGTAGACATCTTCATTCATAGAATTCGCGTGAGAGAAAGTAATTATTTAATACTTTCATTCAATTTTAGATTTATTGTGAATGATAGAATAATGCTTTGAAATAATTTTACTTGTAGTAAAAAATAAAAGAACAATAAATCTTATACGGAAAGGGCACATTTTTGTTATTACTATATCATATATAATAGCAATATATATCGTTATACTATAAAAAATCTTTTTCCTTATTTTTTTGTTAATAGTTACACGAGAAAGAGTTTATATTATTCTAAAAAAATAAGAATTTAATTATTCTTAGATAAACAATTTCTCAGATCTAAAACATTTCTTATCTCGAAGAATTATTAGAAGCATTAATTTTGAAATACTATAGGAACACCGTGTACCGTGTCAGTCATTAGGAATTAGTCCGCTAATGAGGTAAATGAAGAAAAGGAAGTAGGAGAGAGAAATAAGAGAAACGGTTGCGTTGTACGTGCGCACGTTCATTTCTAGTCTCGTTTTTCGGATCGATGCGCCTTGGAAAAAGATCTCCCGGTGGGGCGGCGGCGCGCGCGCGATTAATGCGCTTTATCGCGGCTTCTTCAGGGTCGTCCTGGTTGCTGTCGCCGTCAAAGGGAGCCGCTCGCCATTCGCGGGACCGTGCAGTTAATGCGGATGCCGCTCCTTCTTGTCTCGCGAGGATTTCCTTGGATTTCGACGTTTTACCGCGGACGGTAAAAGTACCACTTTGCTTAACAGTCATCAACTTAAACAGTTTGTTACGCGCCGATATCTCCGGGAGCTTATAAAAAAAGTAATTATCTTCTTTACGGCTTGTGTGGACGGAAATAACTCGATAATCTTTCGCTTGTGTTTGTGACAATCGATTTCCGTGTTTGAATGTGTCACAGAGTTGTAATGGAGAACCACAAATTCGTGTCATAAGAATATCAAGCGTTTAAATGTCGGAGTAATTTTTACTAATTCGAGAAAGATTTGAAAGCGAATTTTTTTTAAATAAATTAAATCGTAAAACGTATATACATAATCTTTCGATGTTCTCGCATTTTTTTTCATGTAATCCTGTTATGAAAAACAAATCATTGATGATGTGGCAAAACTTAAATCTTGTAATTAGATGATGTGTAATATCTGTGACAGTAGTAATGTAAACGTGTTGTCGGACAGAAGTATAATTAGGAATGACGTGAGACAATTAGTTTTAATGGTTAGAAACTTTGCGGCTTAGATTAAATGCGCTTTTTTCCATATAAAGATGAGATTGGTATAAATCTTTCCAAGTTTCCAGCGCATTTATTTATGACAGTGCTCAATTCAAAAGAAGGTCGCATATAATTTTATTGGTTCGAGTAGTTGGAAAGCAATTGGAGAGAAATACTCTCTGAAAATAAAAATATTATTTGGTTGTAATAATTTGACAAAATCATCTGAAAATGGATACGATAACATGATATTTGATACGATAACATGAAGGAACTCTCTTTATTGTACGCGCATTATTAAATTGTGTACAATTGTGTCCATCGAACAGGACGCGCGTTTTGTCTAATAATACTGTGCTGGAGGTGTTACAGTGTCACGTAGAAGTTAAAATTAAATATTAATTAAATAGAGCGTTATAAATAAATTATAAGTTTACTTAGCCTATGGACCATTTTATATTATACTTGCGTCATTACGGAATAGTCTGCGCAAATCTTCTTCTAACACGATTGAATATCTCGCGATTGATTCATACTTTTCCGCTACATTCAATCCAATCGTTTAAAAATTATTAATAAATCGAAGTATAATTTCCATGATCGAGCGTAATAATTTATATCAGTCAGTTTTACGTCATATTCTACATCAAAAATCGAAATTCGAGATTGGATTTTTCGATAATATATAATATTCTGCGTAAAAATTTCTCTTTTCATAATGAGAATGAAGAATTCTCATGAAAAGCGCAATCGTGTCAAGACTGCTTAAAAAAAAAAGCAAATAACACATCGACGAGTAGAAAATTGAATTAATAATTACAATTGCATTTTTCAAGATTCTTTAATTCTCGTAGAAATCAGATTTCATTTTGCTAACAAGGATTATTATCTTTCTACGTTCGCAGAAATTCGATGTTAGTAGATGGTCAGTAGATCCATTTCGATATCGTGATTGTCCAGGAAGAATTTGTACCTGTTAATCCCGATTCCAATAAGAATCGTATTATTAACCCTATCGACTTACGATTTTTGCGAACACAAATAGCCTCGCTGCGTGCAAATCTTCGGCAAATCTCCGGAGCTAATTTCCTCTTCGATTCGATCGCGAAACAAAAAGGAAAAAAATTGATGTCGATTTCCATCAGTCTTAGACACTCCCTTTCTCGCTTTCTCATTCCATTTCATTTGCAAACCGTAATCCACTCCTCCACCGTACAATTTTGACACTGTACGAAGCAGCACCAGTGGAATTTGCAGCTGCAACGCTCCGTTCGCCGCTGTCGCACCACGTTGTAGCCTCTGCCACAACACAGACTGGCACATCCGTCCCCACCGGTGCTGGTTTTGTTGCATCGGCGACCGACGGTGCCGGCGATGTCAATCGTCGAATCTCGCTCGCAGAAGTTTGGCGATTTTTGATAGTAATACAGCTGCTTCGGAAGATCGCGGAGTTTCCTCCTACGGCCGCCTCCGCGATGCTTCCTCTGTCGCTGCCTCCGACGCGATCCTCGGATTCTGTTTGACGGTGTCACCTTGCCTAGATTGGTCTGCGTCACCAATACGGCGTTTCTGAAACGGTCCTTCAGCGTCTTTCCGATCACTCGGAAGTCCGGTACAATTTTCCAGCAGGTTTTCAACTCGCACGACCCAGACATTCCATGGCACTTGCAGCGCATCTGCATGTTGCTCGCCAATGCCTGTAATCACGTCGGAATGATTCATGACGTCACGTAAAATGAAAGCAAAATTAAAAATGCGACGTCTATCATTGTTATATTTATAAAAATATTTATATTTATAACATAACGTTTATAAAATATTGAAAAAGTGGTGGCTTTTTTAAAATCTTTTTAAATGAAATTTCTATATTTTTGTATATTGATTAGTGGTTATTTAAAAACATTTCACATTTTTGTCGAATAAATTGCAAATCAATTTCAAATCAATCCCAAATTGGTTTAAGAATCTATAAAGAGAAACTGTGGTCAACTACAGCCAATCTGAAGAACGCTCTGTACACCGATTGTTCTGCGCGACAAAGTCGTGCTAAAAAGTTGCTTCCATGTCGGTTGACTTTGTACAAAACGGTCAATCGACTTTTTCATTTATGGTTGCCATAGTCGGGCTCTCTTTTTCGTGCGGGGCCTTCGGTCCAGCGGACAAGGCGGGCGGAATCGAATCTTTCTCTCAGATTGCGATATCCGCGATGCCGCTGTTGCGAGGTTGGATGAAAAACGCCGGTTCTAACACGCTGTACAAACAGGTACGAGTCGCTCGGATGCGCAGGGTGCGCAGGGTGGTCAAGAGGGTAAGAAAGGAGGAGAGGGGAGAAAGGGAGGGCCCAGTTTCTTTTAAACAAAGAGGTGTCGCGTACAAAACAGTTAATGAGTCTACGGCTGGGTGGTCCAGCCCGAGGCTTCGTCTTAATAACGTCGAGGCGAGAGAGCGAGCGTGGAGAGGTCCATGAAGGAGAGGAGAAGACTTCTCTCTCTCTCTCTCTCTCTCTCTCTCTCTCTCTCTCTCTCTCTCTCTCTCTCTCTCTCTCTCCTCCTTTTCTTCCCTATTGTTCTTTCTCTTTCCGTCTTTCTCTTTCAGTCTGTCTCTCTCTGTTCATCTTTCATTCTAGCTCCTTTTTCGTCCTTTTATCGCAGGAATGGGAGGGAAGGAAGAAGACTGCGCATCGCTAAAAAGTAAAAGCCGGAGGAAAGGTAGAAACGACGAAGGAAAGACGAAGAGAGCCGAATCACGCGCAGGATAATTTGAAGCTCTCTCACGAATCCACGCACGACGGCGTGCGCGCTACATTATTCGCGGACGGACGCGGCACGCGATTGCGAGTTCGCTTCCTCTCGAGATTCCCCGCCGACCGTTTAACGGTATATTATTTCTTGTGCGCGTCTGCTTTAAGACGGCTCATCATTTATCGTGGGATCCTGTATATACACGATGACTACTATAAGACGATAATTTCGCTGTAACAACCTATGTTAAAATATAGCTCAGCTTTCTCCATCGATAAGATCGATGTTCAACGTTTGCGCACATGTACCTTATGTATATAAAACTAATGATACATCAAATGGAATATCGCTAGAAAAAGTTTTATACGAGAATAAAGGCAATATAAAGGAAAGTTAAAATAAGCAAGAAATCAAATAGTTAAATGATTAGCAATTTCTTTTAATTTAATTGCAAAAGCTAAATTGCAGAAAAGATAGATAATTACATCTCAAATTTCGATGTTATCTGTTTTCATAAATCTTATACAATATATGAAAAAACAGCAGTGTTGTTGTATAATATTTCTCAGATCAGAGTATATTTTTATTCATACGATATTTTTTTCTCTAATATACTTTAAGATTGCGCATTGGAACGCAAAATAAAAAAAAATCTATTATGGGAGAAAATGGATGGGATAAATAGGATATGTAATAGATCAATTTTCTCGTTAACAAATATGTTTGCATATCCGGAGTTCAACGATGTCGAAGTTGCGAAAGTATAATACTTACTAGACGACCAGCTTGATTATTATGTAGATTCACCGTAGACTGTATGTCGCCGGCTTTCTCCCGCATGTCTAGGAACTGTCTCGAGAATTCTATGCCGTATTCGAGATTGTGGGAGCAGCCACCCCACTTCCATTGGACGTCTCTGGCATTGGACGTCGTTGGCGTTTTATCCGCATAACTCGAAGGATCGCAGCTGCAGGAGAGCAGGCGACCCATGCTGCAGGCACGAGCCACGTTATGAGCCACGCCAGCTGCTGAAATCGCGTAGGCAAACGCCGTTTCTCTGTAGCCTGTAATAAAATATGATCGATCATCGCATTTCATTTCACGTCTGTTCCGCTGAAGGTGTTAAACTAATATACAAAAGTATCGCGATCTTTCTTGTAGGGGGGGGGTTTTGTATCTTTTGATATTTTCTCAGACTAAAATGTTGAAATATTAAAGAAAATTTTAAGATCACAAATAGAATAAAATTATTTAATTTATCGTTTAGTATATGTTTAGTATATGACGCAATTTAATCTCTCGATGTAAATGATAGTGCGATGGTAAAACGGAATCGAGATCATTAGGTACGTGTAGTTGAGATAGGACGTATTGAGGCATCTGAAAGACACCTGTACTTCAGTTGTCTCCGTTAGCGGATTGCTGGTCGCTGTCAATGACAACCAACGAGCACGACGTGGATAATATACGCAAGACCGCGATATCGCGTTCGCTCTCCTCTCCCCTCGCGGATGAAGGAGAGAGATCATGAAACAGCGGGGCAGCGGGACACCGGGGAAGCCGAGCTTCCGTAGAAGGAACTTCAGTAGCGAGTTCGGGACAGAACGAAACGATGGGCCGACAGACAGACAGCCATCAGACGCAGTTCAGAGGTAGATTATTCAGCCGTCCGTCAAAACAAAGTGCGGCCATCAGCAGCGGCGGCCGGCGGGCATCCACTGTCCGCATGTATAAACGATCTCGCGACGGGGTGCCCGAAGCGATACGATGCCAAACTGCGTCACCGCGAGGAGAAATCTGCGGACAAATCGCGATTTCTCGCCCGATTCCACGCGAAAATCGCGAAACGCCGTAAGGCACCTTTTAACTTAAGTTAGCAACATAACGGGTTCTAACGAAAACTTCTAACCTTTTCGATTTTCAACGTTTAAATTTTTAATTCCGACAACATATATTTTTCGTTACATAATTTTTTATAGTTTTTACTTTTTGAATATTTACTCGAATATTTATAAGTATATTTATAAGTAGATATTAATTTTTTGAGATTGAAATAAAATAATGTACTGTAAACATTACTCGCGTGTATTTTCGTAAGATTTGGAGAGAAGGAAAACATGGCTAAATGCAATGCAAGTTATAAATGTTAATAACAGATCTTTTTGGTTGTCATCAATTCGAAATGGATCCATTTGATCGATCAGTATAAAAGACTATCGGACAACTGGTCGTTGATTATGTCACTCTTTGTCGACCGCCTTCGACATTAAAGAGATTGCTTTCTGAATTCTCTCTGAAAGTCGCTTTTGAACGTGGATCGCACCATTTTTTCAGAGATTTCACAGGTCGATAGGAACATGGTGAATGAAAACCAGAATGGTTCCGCTTGTTTTCGGCACATTGAACTCGATATTGCGACCTGACGTCGCAGATACCTAGTCTTGATGCTAAGAAATATATATCTTCCGATGGCATAAGATACGATACGATATTCCTTTATTTACGGCGATCTTACGGTGGGAGAAGCTTTTGCTATATACGGCTATTGTCAGCAATTGTTTTATAATGCAGATAGCTACCGTGTCGCGAGACCATCATTGTTTCTCGACAGCGAGAAGGAGTGCGTAATAAATCCTCTGTAGTTGTATGTCCTTCCTTTCTTTGGATAGTGAAGAACCCAAAGTGGAAGTTAGGGAAGAACTCTGAAAACTGTGCAACGGTCTTTTTGGTTCTCTTCGTTTTTTGTGACAACAGTTTTGATATAGCGATATGGTGCATTGCACTATTCTTACGTTCAAATTACGTTCAAATAATTCAATAAAGCACTCGGAAAAGATTCCTAAGAGCACATCTAACCTCCAGCGAAACAGCAACTCTGAAGATACGAGAAGATATTTTCATGTCTTCAAAATATGGAAATATAAATAAAACACAACATTTGTTTAATTAACGAAATAATTTTTATTTTAATAGTTGTACGAGTGATCGGCTACTCTTTAGTTAATACGGGAGGAAAATGGACAGAATTGGCTCATAATTGTTGTCTAAACTTAATCTTCGTTTTTGCTTTTATAATGAAGAGTCTCTCTCTTGATGAGTACAATAGTTAAGTCCGAGTTTATTTTGATGAATACTTTGATGCTTTAGAATTCGCTATTCAAAAGGAAGTGACCTGAGCCAGTAATCTTGAAAATAGAAAAAGGAACTTTCATTTCGATGTTAGACGTTTTCATATTTATATCTATAAATCCAGTCGTTATGGCGTGGGCAATGCGACAGCGGTTCGGTCTTCTTGTGTGGGCTCTACGCTTCGGTCGAGGCGGTCGAAGATCGGTTTCGTGTACTTTTCATAATACATTAAGTCGTTTTGCTGAAGTCCGACGAAATTGTGACGATAGGCGAGAGAAGCCGTGGGATAGGGCGGGGAGGGGGAGGAGGAGGGCAGGGAATAGGGAGCGTTGAGAGCAACGAGAGGGCAAGAGAACCGTGTCCGAGTGACTTAGCTACAAAACGGCTCTTCTTGAGATGCCGGACCCGAGGCCCCAATTTGACACGGTGGATTTCTCAAATGATCGCGGGCCATCTCTCCACCTGGCCACCGATATCTTAAAAAGGGACAGTGGTTGTTAGTTCTCGGAAGCTATTGCCCTCTGACTCGAGAACCAAAATCTAATAACAGCCGATTAGTTGTTGCCAATGTTACGGATAATCAGCGAATCGCGAATCTTTTTCGCGCGCAACAAAAACTTTTATAAAAGGAGTTTTTGTTGCGCGTATGTGCGAATGACGCAAATTTGTAGAACAAAAAAAAAACAACATGTCTTCTATGAGATAAAAATTCAAAGATTTACTTAATTGATATAATATAATCCGCTTGTATAAAATGATATTACTGGAAAATGATATTACTGGAAATTGAACTGAATTATAATGATGGGAACGAAGACAATTTGCTGAAGACGATTCCGCGAAACGCGAACAAAGGGGGATTGCATTTGTAAAGGGGTAAGCTCCGAAAGTTTTGTTGGGATTCCACGTTCGGTCGGACGGGCCGTTTTACATAATTCTCGAAAAAGTCGTGGAATCGACACCTTCCCTCCTGTGTCTCGCGAGCAAGAAGAGACGTATCCCGATCCACGGGAGGAGATAACGAGGAGCCGGACAGGAGAAGCGGGCCCCCGGGTCTGCGGACGAGCTTAAGCTTTCAGGTCAGGTGCGCCCGATGTCGCGCTCTCGCGCATTCGTCCGACACGATATATGTTTCCTCTTGCGGCGCACGTACGCGCCACGACGAATTTATATGTCACACTGGAATAGGCCGACCGTGGGGGCAGGGTCTTCTTATGGAATTGGGACAGGTTTTCGGGGTCTGCCGCGGGTAGGTTGCGCTTTGATTTAAGGAAACGCGTCGCGTCGCGTCGCCTCGCCTCGCTTACGCCGTCCCGTCAACGACGTCATAAAAGATTCCACTTTGTACCCTTCAAGGAACTTGTATGCTACGATCACACGATGAAAAATCGTCCAGAATTTTTGTCCATCAATGCGAAATATCGCCGTGAAATTTTCCAATTACATTCAGTTGTTTAACATATCCTGTTGCAACTAGTGTGTACGCCTCGGATATAATATAAATTATATAAATTATATTTTTCCTAACCACTTATACTTTTCATTAGATAATAATTGCATTTACATTTCATATTTTAATAGCAAGAGAAATTCTATTAATTAGATAGTTTCTTTACTTCACTAACAAGTAAGACGAATTTATATTTGTCTGTAAGAATTATTTGTGTTACACAAAATGGGGTAATTCTTTTAGTTTCTTAATGGGGCCTTATATTTCGTTCGTTTATAGCGCGTATCTATAGCGCGAGCCGAAACGAATTTAACGATCCAGGAAACATTAATACGCCATTAGCGGACAGGTAGATTATTAATCATGAGTTCAGATCTGATCAGATAATTTCGCTCGTTAAGTATTCTCAGTACCTCGTTGAAGAAGGACGCTGCTCTGTTGAGTTCTGCTGCTTGGCGTGAGGGATGAACAGTTCCACCTGTGCCACATGAACTGATGCTGACACTCAGATATGGCCATTTGCAACCCCTTGATCGCGGTTACGGTAACATCGGGATTTCTGTAGCAAAGCTCGCGTTGCTCCTTCGTCAATCCCGGAATGCCGTTACACACGACAGCACTGCCACTCACCCAATCATCCACGGAATTGCTCATTAGACAAGTCGCGCTGAAAAAGGTAGCAAAATGATAATTGACGCGTCATCCATACGCGGTTATCGTTAAGATACTAGGTCACCGCCGTAATGACTAAATATGTAAAATTAGACGAGATTCTTTTCTATCGAGATTACAAAAGTTAGAAAATACTTGGTGAAATAAATACAACTTTTTCCCCCTCTTTTAACAGAAATTGCATAACGCAATTCGATTAACGTGGTTATTTTGAAATAATTTAAAAAAATTCCAACTTAACGTCGGATTAAGTATGCATAATTAATTCAAAGTTTAGCTTTAATCGCTAGTTCTGAATAGCGCGTATGGATTTTCTCATAGTTATACACTCGATTGATTTGAATGATTTTTGCTTCCGGGGAATTTACAACAGAGGCATTCCTCGTGCTTATGGTATTCCATAATCTTTTCCCATTTCTAATTCCAAACTTAATCTTTATCTTCCTTTATTTCCAGTTATTATATTCTCAATCCTACTGAACATGGACCATTTATGGATTAGTTACCAAGTTTAAAGATACATCATCTTTTTTTCCTTTTCTTGAATAGTTTTCGATCAAATATAAATGGTGAATACAGATATGTCTTAAAACACATTTCCTTTATCGCATTTTTACTGCAATATTTTGTAGAATAAAAATTATTTTGTATGTCAAATCGTCACAGATTTTTGCGAAATCTTGGATCTTATCTTTAATAACTTTTTTAGTCAAGTTAGACTTGAATATATTTTTTGTTACATCTGTCTCTACATTGTCAAATCTTGATAAAAATTACATAAAAATTAACGAAAATAAAAATATACGACAAATAAACTACAAATATTTGTCGTCAAGTTAGAATTCGTGTCACAGTTGTTTCTCTTCTCGGTTGTAAACATACATATTAGTTTAACATGTGTCAAGTGTAATTAGTGACAACATGCGGAAGCAGGGAAGCAACCGGTCAAGCTCACCACCTGGTTAAACTCGCGAAACTGATTATCGTTGAGCTCTTCGCTGATAACGGTGCGCAAGCAATTACACTATATAAATAATTATCGATATTGAGATACTATATTAGAAAACATCGATGTTCTATGAGTATAGATAAAGAATACTTGTATACTCTTTTGAATACTCTTTTCTAAAATGATTTAATCCTATCGATATTCTTATGAGATTATTCTTCGCGAATTATAAAAGTAATGGCGTTATTTCTCTTTTAAACTTTTATTTCGACTCGATATCCCTTATATTGACAATACATTCTGACAAATCTACTTTAATTGACTAAATGAATAACAGTATCGGTGTTTATTTTAAGCGGCGATTTCTAAATTTCACACACGGAATGCTAATGGAAGTGCGCTCGTGCGGGGGGGATATCGAGAGCTGGAGCCGGCTTGTATGTCCGAATCTGTACGATGCAGCACTAATCGCAGCTGTCTGGAGCACCGATTTTACGGTCGCGCGCGGCTGTGCGGCGCGCACTTTCGCGCACGCGTGCACCGCACGCGAGCGTCCGCTTTCCTTCGGTTTTACGAGACCGAGGTCAAGAGGTGCGAACGTTCTCAAAGAGCCGATAAAACCGTTTCTATCCTGCCGTCTGTTTCTGCCATCGCGCGCCTCACGAAGAGAAGAGATGGCAGAGGAAGGGGGATCCGAGCGCTCCCACCCCTCCCCGCTCGCCCCTAATTCACCTTCCGCCACTGTGTTCTGTTCCCATCCCCCCCGCATGATTGTGATAACGGCATCCATCTCTTGGAAGAAGAGCTCTTAAAGCGCTATCTTAAGCGACGGCTGCTGCCTAATGGCCGCGTATTACGGCGTACCGGGTGTTAATTAATTTCGAGGTGAAAAAAAAAGAATGGCAGAAGCGAGCATGCATGCGTGCGTGCGTGCGTGTTCGATATATGGTCCGGATCGCGTGTGTCAGAAACATGCGTTGGTTCGGCGAGAGAGAAAGAGAGAGATGAGGGTTGTTCGTTTGTCGCTGCGAGACCAGTCATTATTTCTTGTTACTGCCAAAAGGCTAGAGGAAATACACCGTTAGAATTTTTTCCATGGGTTTTTTTATTCCTTCCTGCTGGATGTGTTTACAGTTAGTAAATGGTAAACCACAAATTGGACTCCTCTATCGAATTCCGTTGGATTCACTTAATACTTGTTCAAGCTGTTGCTTTTAACCCTTCTAATAGATTTTTAAATTTTGAAAATGTCAATTCTTCGATGAAGTATTTCTCTCAAAAAATGCATTACAGTAAAATTACAGTGTGTTTTAAATGATATTTTAGTATTGAAAAGAGAAAATTATATTTTAAAATTAAAAAAATTTTTAATTGTTTTCTTTTTCTCATGCAGCAATCTGTTAAAAAATATCCAGATAATGTTGTAACAATTAATAAAACTCATTAATACATGAATGTATGATTAAAGTTTTTTATATATCGATGATCATTGGAACTTTCAAGATTGGTCAGCAGCGTGAAAAAAATCGCCGTCGTCTTCTTCACGATCATTAATTTGCTCGCAGCGTTTCGAAGCGGTTTATTTTTTTTTCGAAGGGAGGGTTCTCTCTCGGTGGAGCTGTAAGGTCCTGCAGGATGTCATGGGCGGGTGCAAGGTTCTCTGTGGGTCGCTTGGTTATCTGCGGGTACAAATTAGCGGACGAGCTTCTTCTAAAGTAAAAGCATGTATAGCACCCGCGTGAACGAGGAAAGAGGAACAAGACGAACAAATCGGCGACAGTCAACTTGAAGAAGATAGAAGAAGACAGAAGAAAACAGGAGAGGAGAGGAGAAGAGAAAGAAGAGAGAGAGAGAGAGAGAGGAGGGAGGGAGGGGAAATTATAAAAAAAATAAAAAGGTCTCAACGCGATACTAGGTAGTGTGGGAAAGGACGATGGGGAAGGGGGAGAGGGTTTTAGGGTCGTGGAGGTTATTGAGAGCTCCCATTACCGGTACACCGTTGCACCGCTGCTATCTTTCGCGCTATTGATGATCTACCGAAAGCAGATTAATGATCTTAACTCCCCCAACAAATTACGGAAGACACCGCGTACCTGCGGAGGAAGTTGGATTGTATCAAGAGATTCCTTTCGCTACCTCTCGTCCTGGCTCCTCCGTTCGTGCATGCATCTCACTTTGCGAATAAGAAACGAGCTGGGTACGCCGTAAAGCAATTAATTCAATTCGAATCTCTTAAAGCAACTGGTTTGTTGGAACTTGCGAAGTTTTGTTTATTAATGTGAATAATTATTATTAATGTTTAATGTTACCATATAGGTTTTTAAAAGGTGATCTCTTTGAATATACCTATATTTTTAGAATTATATGCATTTTCTAAATTATATTTTTGAAAAGTTAAAGTAATAATTACAATGCGGAAAAAATGATTTATTGCATAAATGATGGCATTGCGCTTTTACCAAGGATCGTTATAATTTAATTTCCCTTTGAGTGGCGGATCTCACAGAGAATCCGCTGGGCAAATCAGAGAGGAGATACGCGAGTGCATGTCCCGCATTTTTGCAATAATCTAAGGGGTCGCAGAAGAATCCAAGATGGCAACGGCGCCGGGGATGCATGTGTTTTATTTAATCCCCCTCCTTTCCGTTCTGCTCACGGAGATGAAAGAGGAACACGGTACGGAATTTCGCGTCTAATGGGATATACCCAGTGGGAAGAGAGAACTCGTCTTTTTTTTTCTTCACGATCCAACTCGCGAGAATACCTGCGGTAGATATCGTGGTGCCTCGCTCTTCCCTCGATCTTATGGAAGTAAATCGATTTCGCGGCGAGTACATTGTCGGGAATGCGATAGGCCGCGAATTACGTTCTGCAGATGGTATCTAACGTAAGTTATGGCGACCTCTAACTTCTCGATAAAACTGGATTCCCGTCTAGTTTGTCAATTACTAGCGATCCCATAGAGCATTACAAAGTCTTCATTTGCTAATAAACATTCGGGATTCCGCTATCTCCTCTTCGATAATATGAATTCCTTGAAAATGTTATCAGACCGCAAGTGGAATAACCGCGAATTATCATTTCGCCACAAGTTGTTGTATGTCTGTGCTTTCTGTGTGTGGAATAATTTCTTTAATTTCTACTTGTATATCTGTTATTTAAAAATTAATATTTAATTATAATTAATTTACAAAGTCAATTATGCTTAATTTATTATAAATTAATATAAAA